AACAACAATCATGACATCAATGAACAGTGTAGTAAAAATTAATCCGCGTCATGACAAAACCAACATAGTGCCTTTGCGACCAGCATGGTTCCAGACCAGCCTGCGCATCCGGGCAGTCTGATCAAGATCTATGCTGTTCGCTAACAAACACTATTACAAGTAGAGAAACTGATAGCGAACAGTACAATGCAGTATGGATTCTGATCAGACTGCGCGGATGCGCAGGCTGGTCTTGATCCATGCTGGTCGCAAACGCATTACGTTGGTTATGTCATGACGCGGCTTACATGAACTTGAGATTTTTGTTGTCAATGCATGATGAATAAAAAGGACATTTGATGATCTTTAAAGGTTTATGGCAGGTGGTCTTTGACATTTTAGTTTTGTCAATAAGTTATAATGTGTTCCGACAAGCGCAAAAACAATTGGATGCTGATTTTTAGGGTTCATTTTTATGTACATGATTCTTGGTTTAGAATGGGCAGTGAAATGTTATTGCTTTCTGGAATTATATCTGAAAATACAATAAATTTTAACCAGTATTTTTTTGTGAATATTAAAAATGGTGTTGGAGTGATTACTGTAAATATACTTGTTTGGCATCAATGAATGCATTACTGAGATGTCTTTCCACTAAATTACTGTCATACTTTGATTACTGCTGGGTGCTAATTTATATGATGTTAAACAATGACATGAAAATCTTTATCTATATGCGTTTTTCCTTGCTATACATGGACATTTTTGAAATTGGAATTAAAATTTTATATTTCTCTTAGTTTCAAACAGTGTGATATTATTTTTTCAAATGATAATAAAAATGGGGGATTAAAGTTTTTAAGCTGTAAAATAAATGGAAATAAATAAAATGGATAATAATGTAAGAAAGGCATGGTGTAATGTTGGTCTGGAAATTTATGTCATTTTGACTCAGTTTTACTGACTTCAAAGCCCAATCCCCATGATTTTTACAAAATTTGACCCTTCAGTTAAAATCCTGAGGGTCAAATCAGGCTTTTTGGAAATTTGAAGGGTCAAAGAGTCATTTCAAGGGTCAAACGGACACCCTGTTAATTTTATGACCTAATTGTGATTTTGTAAACTGATTCAGACTCTTGTTTGATGTTTAAACAACTGTTACGTTGTTTTCCCCAAAGTACTAACTAGATTTTGATATAGAAATATGGGTTTTAATTCAAATAGTAGATTGATTATTTTTTCAAGGAATGGATTTTTTTCTCCTAAAAGCTCAGTAGCTATCTCTTCAACTCATAAATAGTTATCTTGGATAAGTGCCTGTATATATGCCTGTTACAATGCAAGGGTGTTATATGTGGTTTTCTTCCACCTATCAAGCTGAAAAAAATAGCCATATGACCTGAGTCAATGATGGATTACCAGTAGATAGTTACTTGCATATCAGTATGTTTTAAAGCAATTTTTTACCTGCTATTACAATTGAGGTATGTTTGTCTTGCATCAAAACCGTGTCATAATTCAAAATTGATGTATGCTAGCAAAGTTATTCTCATAAGATTTGATGTAATATATGTGTAGTTAAGGTATATAGTATAAGTCATTGTGAAGTGTTGCCATTGCTTGGACACTGCAGCGAAAAATATTTTCCACAATATAACAATAAACAAACTAAAGTCTGCAACATTTTCATTTCTGAGATATATCATTACAAATGAGCTGTGCAGCCTTTAAGGCCACCAATTTATTGGCGTCTTTAGTCAAGTTTATTAACTAATGTTACCAAATATAGAGTCATGCACATTTTCTTTAGATATGGAATTGTTAGTTTGAAAGGAGAGAACATGTTTGTATACCTTTTGTTAGGAAAAAGAATCGAAAAATAATATCCTTATGCTCTTTTTTTACTTTATAAGACATGTATTTTAAGGTGGTAATAAAGAATATTTTAATCTATTTTTGACTTAGTTTTTTTGGATGTCCTCATTTTATTGGATGTCCTCATTTTATTGTTCTGACTTTAACTAACCATTGGACACATATAAGACCATTCATGGGTTGTTGTTTTATATAGATTAACATGTCATTCAGTGTATTCACCTTTGACTTGCAGAGTTTTCATAATGAATTTGTGGGCCTTTGAAATTGGATCTGTTCCTATAAAATGAAAAACTTACACCATTAATAATTATGGTGACAGTATGTAGTGTACATGACAAAAAATAACCCACAAAGACTTGTATATGGATGTTGTTGGTAAGTGTGAGATACAGAAATATTTTATAGTCGTATCCAGTGGTATATTATTGTTTTATCAATCGTTGGAAAACTTAAGGAAAGTTTGCCCATTGACATCAATCGTGATTTCAGTATCAAAATATTAGAACTAAGCTCCTACAGCCTGGTCAGACTTCACAAATGCTCTACATGCTGACAAATAACTTCCGGTTCCAGTAGATAAAAGGTTTAATGAGTTAACCACATTAAAAAAAAATGGATTATGGTATTATTATGCTCCTCGAAAAATTTTGGGGGAACATATAGTCGTCGGGTTGTCCGTCCGTACGTTCATACGTCCCGAATTTGTGTACGGTCCATACTTCGTTATTTAAAGTCAGATTTTAAAACTATTTCACAGAAATGATCACCATATGAGACGACGTGTCATGCGCAACATTTGTATCGCTACCTTGAAGGTCAAGGTCAAAGCATGACCTTGTAGCAAAATCGTGTCCGGCCCATAACTTCGTTATTTGAAGTCGGATATTAAAACTATTTCACAAAAATGATCACCATATTGAGACGACGTGTCGCGCCCAAAATTTTGGTCGCTACCTTGAAGGTCAAGGTCATGGCATGACCTTGCAGCAAAATTGTGTCCGGCCCATAACTTAATTATTTGAAGTCGGATTTTAAAACTATTTCACAGAAATGATCACCATATTGAGGCAACGTGTCATGCGCAACATATGGGTCGCTACCTTGAAGGTCAAGGTCACAGCATGACCTTGCAGCAAAATCGTGTCTGGCCCATAACTTCGTTATTTGAAGTCGGATATTAAAACTATTTCAGAAAAATGATCACCACATTGAGACGACGTGTCGCGCCCAACATTTTGGTCGCTGCCTTGAAGGTCAAGGTCACAGCATGACCTTGTAGCAAAATCGTGTCCGGCCCATAACTTCGTTATTTGAAGTCGGATTTTAAAACTATTTCACAGAAATGATCACCATATTAAGACAATGTGTCGTGTGCAACATTTTGGTCGCTACCTTGAAGGTCAAGGTCACAACATGACCTTGCAGCAAAATCGTGTCCGGCCCATAACTTCAGTACTTGAAGTCGGATTTAACAACTAATTCACAGAGATGATCACCATATTGAATCGACATGTCGCATGCAACGTTTGGGTCGCTACCTTGAAGGTCAAGGTCAAAGCATGACCTTGCAACAAAATTGTGTCTGGCCCATAACTTCGTTATTTGAAGTCGGATGTTACAACTATTTCACAGAAATGATCACCATATTGAGACAATGTGTCGTGCACAACATTTGGGTTGTTTTTACACTTTGAACTTTGTTACATAATCCTGACACTACAAGAGTCAGTTTATAACTACTACCATACTATCATAACTACTACCTTCCTGTGTCCAAAACCTATTCAGGGAGCATCACCCGGTTAAACCGGCTCTTGTTACATGGAAAACACTGGTGTTAAGACAAAATTCTAGGATTACCCTAAAGTTTATTAGCTGTTTTGAGTCTGAGTTTAGGTAAAATTTCACCTCCAGTTTGATTGTGCATCTTTCACATCATCTAGGCTAGCATGAGAGTCAAGATTATCTAGAACTCACCCGGGGAAATCCGGGATTTCCACTCATTTTGAAAGGGATACAATATAAATTCTTTGTTATTAAGGTGAAAAAGCGCCCCTAGTGGTTAAGTGGTTGCCTTTAATAGTTGATTCATAAGAATTGTAGCCACCATTTATCCCAGCGTGATCGTTAAAGTCGACTAAATGCTTTCGAATAATTGGAATCTATGCATCTCTAAGCTCCGTGAGGAGGTTTTGAAGTTTTGTGTTGCTTTGAAGTTTGTAACACTCAGGTTAGCTAACATTATCTTTCAAAATCGACGCCATATGACCTAATGATGTGTTGGTACGCCGGAAAACCAACCAAACAAACAAATGTGCTGACGAAAACTCGCAAAAGTTCTCATAGTTTTAAAGTTTTAGAAGCAGGTACGTGTTAAATTCAGCTACTGTCTATATGTTTATTATGACTGCATAGTCTGATAAAACAGAAACTCTGGTACTCCATCAATTATGAACATTGATTTCGTTAATATCTATAATCGGGGAATCTACAGCATTATTTTTCTTCATTTTTAATGCGTTTATTGGTTTTAGCGCATTTTACTGATAACGAACATCGACTTGTAACAAGAGTACTTATGTAGTACTCGACTCCATCCCACCTCCAACACTCCTCCCCAAAGGAATAAAAAACAAAGCAAAAATAATATCCCCCCCCCCAATAAAAGAAAAAAAAAACGAACAACAACAAAACACAAAAAAAAACAACAATAAAAAAAAAACGGAACAGCGGTTGAGGTCTCTAGCTGACGTCTGAATTTATATTGACGACCTCATCCCTAGTCCCGTTTTCAATATTTTGTTTGTTGATCAATGAAATTGCACGCATGTACGTTCGTTCGTGCCTTAGATATGTTATGTAGGTACGTTTGTGTATTTTCCAGCCAATTAAGCTATAATTATTTTAATTAAGCATTCCTGTCAACTAAGTTTATCAATCGAGTTGCATCATAGCAACATTTTGTGTTTCAAGCTGACTTATTTTTTTATCAGATCCATCAAATTACATGTTTTGCTCACCTCAATTTATCTAACGCACGTAACGTTAACGTACTATGACGTGTTTAACGTAGTAAAAATACATATCCTGTTCATTGAAACAACAAATGATAATCGCTTGGTTTAAAATTGAATTAGCAAATAGAATAAATAAGGAAATAAAATCATATAAAAACAGGATACATACGTTTATATATCTTTTCCATTTCTTTTGAAATGTCATATTAAACATTAAAACCATAAGATCGGTACATTTGTTATCTTTGTAAAGTTAATAGTTTTAGGAAATATAAAAAGTAATGGTAAGCATGCGTTTAAAAAACGTTATTAACTATAAGGACTTATAAATGATGGTTGCTGGGACGTTTGACAGGTCCTTTAATTTATTGTAAAACTTAAAGATATACAAGTATGCTTAAATTTGATATTAAGAAATATTGATAATTGCTACACAGTCTCTTAGTAAATATAAAATAAATAGTTTTGACTTCACACAAGTAAGATATGTTATGTTCAAAATTTTACACACGAACAGTTATTCACAACATGAATTTATAGCGTCATTAAAAAAACAACTGGCAGTTTTTAAGAAAGGACTAACTTAACTTGACCTGTAATAGGGAACGCAGCTTCCCAACCACAGTTTATTGATTCTGTTTTTTCAAATTTTACACATTCAGAAAGAATTTCATAGATTTCAATATTTTTTGTGATTAAAACATTTAACTCGAGGATGAGCATAGTACATCTTTAAGTAGTATATTGTAACTTGTTTTAATCAAGTGGCGACTTATCTAATACTTGAGATCATCATATGATTATTCTTTTTTCCGTTCAGTTGTCTAATTTTTATTTATGTAGGTACGCCTATCATAATATTATTATATAAACAGGTTTCCTTGCAACAATCTCAACATTAATACAATATGGTTTTACCATCTCATTTAAAATACTTACCAAGCGCGCAACTGCACATGTTCTACCCGCAACCAACGGATCTACTTGCAACCAGTTATTGTGTTTATAATTCAAGTGCAACGGTTTAAAATTACAGCATGATAAACATTGCAAAAACCTAACTTAGATGTTTTTCTGTCGGACAAGACATGTATAAATCATCAAGTTAAATATAAATGTACGAGTTTGTGTCGAAATTTCATCTTGTCATGCTATTTTTTTTTAAAACGCCCAAACTACAATGCGTGGGATAGTAGCTTTAAATTTCCCAAACGGTCAAGCAAATCAATTTGAATTTAAAGCTTGACTAGTCCACTATAGAAATTCAGCAGGTTGATGGTTAAATAGACTCTAGTAGTTTGTTTTATCATTCAGTTTTGTTACTTAATTTTAATCTTAACCGTAAGATCTCTCCTATAATTATTATCATATATGCGTTTTCCTGTTTTAGGGGAAGACCTTCGTGTTACTATTTTTAGCGCTATTTCTGGCTGCAGTAACAGCGCAAATAAAACCATCAACGAATAATTCACAGCTTAACCTTCCTAAGCTAAACCACAAGGAGTTTTCATGGAATGTAAAGCCTCTGTTTGGTAGCGGAAAACCTAATGGCTTATCAGGAACAGGTACTTGGAGACCAGCAAACACTGGAAATATGTCCTCCGCAACCGGAAGTTTGCAAAGCGGAAGTGGATTTGGAGGCGGTGTCAAGGGGACTTTTGGTATCGGCAAAGAATCATCAATAAGTCTAGGTATTGGAGAAGGTGGTGGAAAGGAATTTCATGCAAGCTTATCTGCAAGAATACGTTTTCGCCGGAAGCGCAGAAGTGAAATTATTCGTAAATTGTATGACTTTTGATTAAAGTTATAATGCTTTATAAAACTTACCTTTTATATCTTTTATCATCCAAAATCATTTATTATTATTTTATGTCAATGATGAGACACATAGTGCCTGGTATCAACTTTCTATTTGTGCTTACATTTTGAAATGGAAGTCGCGTTAAGAAACAATGTACGTCTATGCAGAACAAATAGTATCTTACACGGCTTATAATCATAGACACTAGACATTAAACCTGATTTTAAATGAAAAAACATTTACAACCAAGTAAAAAAGTACTTTGAGCTAATTTACCTTAACCGTTCAACAAAAAAAGTTAAAATAACACGGGACAGACAATACTATATTTTATAATGTTCGTGTACTGTTTTTGAACTGGAGAATATATACATGTATAATGTGCGGCCTTTTAAATTACCACGGCAGACACGTGATGAAATTAAACGCCTAAATTCCCGCATGGCTTTATATATAAAGCTATTCTCAAATGTGTTTATTCAATGAATTAACGAAAATCCTGTCAACGGAAGAAATCTTTTCAATCTTGCGACAAGAACGTATTAAGTTTGATGTGTCTAAATGACACGAACGTCTTACTACACAAAAAAGGTTTCTTTCAATTACCGTTCATGAGAATAATCTGACGGGGAAGTCTTAAAGAAGACACTTATTATCTAAATACCAATTTAATACTGGCGGAAATCACGTCTTTGCCTTCTAGACTTGCTTGTAATCAGTGTTCTTCTGAATCTGATGAACAAATATAGCCAAAAGGACTTTTTTCGACAGAATAGAAATGAAAATAAAAAGTAAAAAAATTATTCGGTCGTAAAAATAATTAGAAGTACATTATACACTGTAAGGTATCTTATGTCTGCATAAATGCTGAGTCATTAAGAAACTTTAAGTCAAATTTAAAGGTCATTATGCAATTTATAATTATTTTTTTATGTGTTTGATATCAAAATCATTCCCATCTTTTTAAGTAGCAATATTCAAAGAAGAAGCAGCGGACTCTTGTATCAGCAAGGTATGCAAGGTACACACATTTGACAAAGAGCAATCCAGCTCCCCCATATTTGGATGTTTTAAAGACAAATAAATCTCTGTGTATGTTTTGTATGTTTTAAAAACAAATCATTCGTCTGGCCAGAGATGTAGATATGTTATCTATGTCTATGCATGGCAAATAAGTTTAATGAAAATGCCACTATTTTCTCTTTTTGTCATCAAACATATTTACGAAAGTATTTGCTTGCGCTGAAAGTGTCTTCTGTCTAATTATGCTAAACAGAAACCTCACAAAGAGTCTTTCTTATAAACGTTTTTGAGAATATTCTAGATGATATAACATCAGATTACATTAACAGAAGCCTCAAATGTGAGCCAATACATAAGAATCTATGGAAATACTCAAAGTTTATTGCCATGAATATAGGAAGAACACTTCGACATGGATCAAGAGTTTATTTTGAGAAAAAAAGAGATACAAACTACGATGAAATTGTATGAAACGGTATCTTTTGTAGCGCATGTCTACAAGACTATCATTTGCTCAATCGTTAACAAATTTAGTTTTAATCAAAATCTTGTATTTTTTCCATTAATTTGTGATACAATTATCAAGTTCAAGTACAGACAAGTAATTTGTAAACATAATTATGGTTTTCCGCTCAAAGAATCGTGCTAAATTGATAACGGACAAGTCACATGCGGAATATGTCTTATTTATTTTTCATCAATCATAAATACATAATCGTCGAGTATATGTGCAACAACAACAAAGCATTTTCAGGTTCCTTAGGAATGTCATTAAATCAAAAGCTGGCATTTCGTTATATAAGTGCTACGAATAATACATAAATATGCTAAGACAAAACGAATTCTGTTTAATATGTGCATATTACCTGCTGACTGCACTTGCCTATTTCTTTTACATACAAGCGAGTTCCATTTCCCAATCATGATACCTACGAACTGTTACTTTTCTGGAGGTGTTATATCCATATCAATGTCAATTACACAATAACGCTTTTAGAACCGGCTGAGTTTTCAATCAATGGATTAAACATATCACAAAAAAGAGAAGAATATATGAAACTCGCATGCGTATGCAAAGATTAAGAGCATTAAAATGTGGTTTAATCACTTTCTTTCTTATACGGTAAAGCAAGATTACGTTATAAGGTTATAGATATTATAGAATTCTTTTTAATGACTTTAATGCGTAAAAGGAGTATTCTAAAGTTCGTTTTATATTGACACTGTAATATAACTTTGGAAACGGATCTGAAGGACAATTTAGTATATTGTGTATGCTAGTATACACACGAAAGTTGATTTAAATGATTGCCATATGAATTTATTCTGTTTACATGCTCCTCATGAAATCTGTTGAACGTATCAAATTGCGTAATAGTAAAAATCATCATCATCATCATCATTAGTATTTAATCATTATGTTGTTGTTGTTGTTTGTTTGTGTTTTTTAATAGCATGACATCAATTATGCCATTATATTGAATGATTTCTAGCGTGAATGTAATGAGTAAAATATCCAAATTGCACTACCCTAAATTATTTTGAAGCTTTTATTATACTATAACATGATATCATTTTATATACAATGACAGCAACTAAGGTGTGGCAACATTGTTTTTGTAACTATAGCTATGTGTTCTCCAGTCTTTGTGTTATAAAGGAATCAATTTTTAGTTGTTGGCAAGTAATCTAGAACTAATAGCTATTTTATCAGACACGAACACAAACAAGAACAAGCTGGGTTTCGTCAATTATGTTTAAGAGAAAAAAAAATTATTACCCTTCCAATTTTTTTCCGCCATTTTGATTGGATATTGATAACCCGAAAGAAATTGATATTACCGAGCCAGACGGGTAATATACACACTAAATTTCCCCATTGGGTACCCCACGTTCTAAACAACATGCGCTGTGGCGATGCGCGTACGGATTGATTTTATTCGATGTAAATTTCGATGTACAAGCACTTTTTAACTGTCAAATGATAAATATTTACCGAATAGAGAAACCATACATATTCTCATGAGTATTGAAAACAAATATGACCTTGTAAAAGCTTGATATTAATTCCAAAAAAGTGCGTTCAACAGACTACTCCTTTTCTCTTCTTTACATTCGTTAGGTTCGAAAGAAAATACGTCATGTATTTATGTGACGTCATGTAGTGGTGAAATGGGTACTCTAAAGGGGATCTTATTTCGACGTTTCATTTGAAGTAGCAATGATTTATTTTAAAATCGTCTTAACTCGGCAGGGGAAGGGTAATAAAATTATTATTTTGGTTTTGGAGTGATATATGTGGATATATCATCTGCCAAATATATAAAATCTTGACAGGTAATATATCCACATATATCACTCCAAAACCAAAATAACATATAATATTTGACTAGACAATATATGATATGTCGCTAATAATATTATTCTGGGAAGGATATAGATGTTTTTAAATTCAGGAACATTTTATTATTTTTTAACTGAATTACACCACAATTTATTGCTTCAATTTTACTTTTTTACTAATGGCTATTCATTTTCATCCTGTAAATTCATAGTAAGAATTGAATAAAAGTAGGATCTTATTTGGTCTTTTTTAAATTAAAGACTGAACTCTTGGAATGTTATTGGTCATTTTAGAATTAGTATAAAATGATAACCAAAAGTTAAGTAAACGAAATTTCTAATCTAAAGTGTGAATGGGTTTTTATTGTAGGACTTTTACACATAATGAATGTTATTAAAATAATTAAAAAAAAACAACTTAAAGTTATAATAATAAGCGTTAAAAATATTAAAATAGTTTTATCTTCCGATTCAAGAATTATGCAGTTATAGAGCAAGGTTCATGAACTGAAACACAATAACTGAAACTGAAACTTGAACTACAACTATTATACAAATCTTCATATCAATTTCAAAATCGTTTATTCTTTTAGATTTGACCTGTTTCGAACAAACACACTAAAAAGTGTGTACTGCATACCTATCTTTTGTATATCTGTTATACAAAATGTATTTTTTCGGACTTCTTTCTTGCCTTCATTTTTTTTTCAAAATCCTGCATGACTCATACCTTACAAGTGTCATTTTCAAACATGTAGACTGTTCTGAAAAAAAAGTATATCATTATATCAGTTGATAGTGAAAGAAACCCCGGAAATGTCAGATAGTAATATCGTAACAATTCCTAAAGGTACCGACGTGATATTATATTGGACTGTTTTATAAGGGTCTTTGAGTATAAAACTTTTACGAGTGTGCTTTGTTACTAGATGCAAAATAGTTTCAAGTATATCTTGATTGACTCCTTCTTTTAATAATCATTTTGATTTAATGTTCCTGACCCAAATAAGCATCACCGATAAATGTACATTTGATTTTGAAGAGCAATAAAAGGAAATAATTTTCGCTTCAAAAATGATAACTGGATTAAAAAAAAATTCTGATATTGACCGGTTATCTGGAAACCATTTCCTTTTGTAAGTTTGTTATTTTTATTTCATTTCTTTCACTAAATAGATATTAGTAAATAAAAGACATTTATTTTAACAAAATAGTAATAATAAAACTCGGACCGATTTAACATAGATACCTGTTTTTCTAGAACTTTCATTCAATTTGGTTTTAATTTACATAATATGTCAAACAACGAACGAACAAACAAACAAACTAAAACAGAGGACAATTTATTAAACCCATAGTTAAGATAACAATATAAGATAATGACTGATTCATAATTTTGTCACAGAAAGAGTCTATTACACAGTTAAATCGCATAGGATAAAAGACATATATACATTGTAGGCAACGCATTGAAATGTTGGAAGTGCATCGCCCATGACTGCGATTTAGACCTTGAAGATAATTACAAGGCGTCAAAGGTCAAATGTCAGGATGGTCAAATGTGTATGGTGAGATATGTTATGATTATTTTGTACATAAATACTGGGAATTTCATATGTACGAATATTTCGATATAATCATATAAGTTGAATTAGGAGGTTCCGACTTAGATCATTCTAAAATTGTGTAACACAATAATCAGCAACTTATCTGTTGTTACTCTGTTTAAAAGGTACATATTTATTTATAAATTACCTGAGTATGACAACAACTAGAAATTAATTAAAAGGGAACGTTGACCTAGTTGTAAAGGTGTCCGCCTCATAATCTAGTCATCGTGGGTCTGAGCCTTATTTGAGTCAAGAGTCTGCTCCATCATATAGTACCAGTGCTGGTTTGGTCTACCTGGCGACAGTTGTTTAAATGAAGTTAAGGCTTTTACCAAAACTAAAAGCAATCGATTTCGAACTAAATTAGTTAATCAACAATAAGTATTTTCTTTACAATTCAGAAAGTACGGTACAGAATGTTTGACAATGTGACACACTATGATTCTGTGATACGAACGTGTACTGACACTACCTGTGACACATCCTCTATGGAAGATTTCATGTCGTGTATATCCAACCCTGCAAAGTACATGATTGGAGGTTGCGCGTTGCGATCTTGTTGTGATGACAAAGATCTGTGTAATTCTAGTAGAACAATCTTTTCTTTGTCATATGCATTCTAGCATTGTGTATCACATTTATGCTGTTGAACAATTATACCATAAACGATGTCCAGACGTAGACTGAGTCACACTTTTGTATGTCACTTTTGGGAATGCATTATTTTGTCTTGGTTACTTCTTATATCAGATTTATTGTTTTAATCCTTTTAAATGTAGCATAACGCTAGTAATGCTTATGAAGGCAAATATTATTCTTATAATATCTGCATTTGTACGATTGCTTGGGATGCATTCAATTAAACAAAATATTCCCTGTGTTGCTTTGAAGCTTCTCAAATTTTGTACATTTTGTATACTTATTTTTAATGGGTTGTAAAAACATGATGCGCTGATGATTTTAAAGATAATTGCTGAATTAAGTAAACGACTTTTACTTTTCTGTTATTTTTTTTATTTCGATCAATGATTCAAATGCTTTTATTATTGAGAGTTAAATATATTTTCACCTGTTTCTTGTGGCTGAATGATGTTGCATCTAGTTATGATTAAAAGAGTTATGATTAAAACAAATTAGTGAACAAAGTATTACACAAGTTGTATTATAACTTTTATACATGATAGCATTTAAAAATAAAAATTAAAATTCAACGAGACAATGAGACATGGGAGAAAAAAGATAATGAAATAAATAAAAGAAAATATTCAGATATTTCTTACAAACATATCCGGCCTTTACATATGACATACACATTTAAAGCGATCGTTAATTGTTCATATTTTCATATGTTCTGTCGATAGTTTAAGTTATATTTAACAAAAAAACATGGACTTGAGGGCAATATGCAAGTTTACGGACTGGTTGGTCAGACTGAGGAAGGTATATGGCCCGAAGCGCAGCTGAGGGCATATACCTTCCAAGGTCTGACCGAAAGGTCATGTTTTATTTGTTATATTATACCGAATCTAAATGCTTTCATCCCTTTTGTTGCTGTCAGTTTTACTATAATTTGCTTTCGATTAATAATTTTTTTGTTCAGTGTGTAAAATATCTCAAACGCTAGTCGGATTTTTTGTTATTATTTTCAAGCGATACAGCAAAAATAAAATCATGCTCTTCTTTTGTTATTCAATGTTATTCAATTTTTGTTAATCAAATTAAACAGGCAAAAAAACCCGAACTTAAAGATTTTCACAAACTGTATAAATAAAATTTATAATCAATTTAAAGACAAATCATGACTTTTGATCAACATGTGAAAAATTTACTTGAAACAAAACAATAAATTCAGTAGAAAAAATCATTTAACAACAAAATAAAATATCATACCTCATTTGCATACGCCATTCTATATTGAATATGGCGTCATCCAGTCCATATAAGAATTATGGACCGGCCCCGGTCTGTATGCGGTTTATGGACCGGATGACGTCATATTAAATATAGAAGGGCGTATGCAAATGAGGTATAATATACGAGTATAAATAGCTTCTGATATCTAACTAGTAACAACTATACTCATACTGAATTCAGAGTTGTTTGTCTATTACATTATATCAGTTACAACACTGAAGGAAAAGATAGCAATAAACAGGGACTCGTGATATATCACATTTGACATTTTCAAACAATAATAGCAAACCATTAATTATCTTAAGTTGGACGAAAAGTTTCTTTATAACTAAATACATTGATCTTGTGCAAGATGATGGTGCGTGCGTGTACGCTTGTGTGTGAGTTACCTATGTTAATAATGATTTCGTTATTAAAATAATAAAATATCTTGATTTCTAATGTTAAAGGAACATTGCTCTGAGTCATTAAACAAGGTGAGTTATGACGTATAAATCGAGTTACAGAACTTTACGACATCGTTACGTGGTATGTTTTTTGTTGTTGTTTCCTTTTTGCAAAATTGAAAATGAATTTCACTAAATCTCGAATTAAAATTAGTGACGTTGAGTAATACAAATGCTATAAGAATTCTCAAATGTTGTTTTTTTGTAGGGATATATTACGTGCGGACCAAAGCAATATGTATTATTATTGACTAATCGGATATTTCTTCATTTCTGAGTATTCTCAAATCTAAAAACTAAAACTACGTAACCCTTTTATCGTTAATTGAGCTATTGAAATTAACTTTTCAGCTAGGAATGGACATTTTGATATTTACTATTTTACAGTTAAAAAGAATTCAATTTTCCATTCATTTTGACCTCTACAAAAAGTTGTTTTATTATAGAATTCTTAAATCAAATGACTTGTAAATTGAGGAAAATGAAACTTGAAAATGAGATATCGCTCGAAAAAAAGAAGAAAAACGCGGTATCGGTTTTACTGAGCACCGGTTAATCAGTATTAATCTTTAACTCAATTATGTACTGGAATCAATTCTTATGGAGCACAAGAGAGCACAAGAACAATATATAACAACACAGTACAACAGCAAAGGTCACGTTTATGTATGAATACATAATCACAAAACAAAAACTAAATGTTGGTTCATTTGCAAGATTCAAAGCCAATGTGTGGAATCAAAAATAGTAACTGAAATATGACAGCGGCATTTGCCACCATATTACGTACAACAACACGGCGAGCTTCGACCGTACACAAACTCCAGCAAGAAAAGTTTACACTTCTATTTAATACAGTATGTGGCACAAAGTTACATGTCTACAACATCCTGGTAATATGATGCTTCGTCTAGACTTTTATTGAAGATTTCCCTTACTTGGAATTATATAACAATAAAATCTAAAATGTGTGAAAAACGTAGTCTATATTAGCTGTTTAAATCATTTTACAAATGCATTCTCTCACGGAATTAATAGGATATGCGCCATTAATACGATGTTTGTTGTGTGTTTCTCAACATATTGCCGGAATTATGTCTTTGCTTGTCAAATAAACTGAATTTGGAATAATTTGTTCAACTTATGTCGCCATATTGACGCCAAGTTTCCCTCGGGTGTGTTTTCTATGATAACATGATTATAGTTAAGCGTTATTCATGTTGATGCTCTATTACATATTTTTCCAAATTTTAACATTTGACGCGAAAATAGCAAGCAGAAATATATAAGGGAAAGTTCCCAGTACATGAAATGCAGGTTAAAAACAAAATTATTAATAATACAGAATAGTTTAAGTGAAAAAAAAGGTTACATTTATGTATTTATATGCGAAGTTTAACCAATGTCAGAAACTAATTTATTCTAGGCTAAAGAATAAACGATTAATGCTTTATAATGAAAATCAAGCCATAAGAAATGTTAAAACATTTGCAAATCGAATATTAACATTGACAATAGAATATTGTGCATAATTTCGTTTACTCTAGTTCAACAAAGCTTTCGAAGTTCTTCTTGAAATTGTAATGATGAACAAATGTACTGAATAAATTAGTTTATCACTTTAATGTACACTTACTCCTGATATGTGAATTGTAAGACAAAATGTTAAATAGATTCGGAAGAAAGATTCTTGTTTTAAATAG